TGCAGTCATTGCTAATCTGTTTTTTAACATAATAAAATTAAAAGAAATTTCAAATGCACTTGTTTTTACTTAGAAACCTAATTTTAACCTATTTTATGAAGAAAATATAACAATAAATGCAAAAAAAAAGCCTAGAGTGTCAGCCTAGAAGGCCCATCATGCCCAACCGGCTAAAATTCAAGCCTAGCATGTGGGCCTAGTGTATGCTATTTTTTTATTATTTAAATAGGTGGATGACATGTTATTTGTCAATTTTATTTTATTTTTTAAAAGAAATAGACGATACGTCCTCTAAAAACCTAGTTTCTAGCCATCATAGGGGTGATCGAAAAATCTTGATAGGTATTGTTTTAGTCGAAAACCTGATTTTAACTGATTTTCACATAAAAACACTCTTATAACCTTAAAAAATTAATTCCTTAATTCAAAAAACTCAAAATTGGTTACAAACAAATCAAATGGCGAAAAAATCTCACAACACTGATTTACTTTTTTTGGCAATTTGATAGTCCAAAGCCATCTCAATGACTCCTCTCGGATACTTTGATACCAAATTTGATTTTTTTGTCATCATATTCCAACCAATCATTTTTTTTCTTGACCATCCACTATTTTCTCATAATTTTCTCTTTCCTTTCTCTAACAACTCAGGGAGTGAACTAAATTGTTTAATTGCAAAAATAAAGGGAACTAAAAGGAAATTTGAAAATATACTAAGGCAAAATTAAGCAAAAGGTGTTGACACCATTTTCTTTCTTTATTTTTTTTTAAAGGACTCCTATTTTTTCTTTGTTTCAGTTTTGATCCCCGAGTTATCTAAGTAAAGATTCTTTATGTGGCGTAAAACCTGAGTTTTGCTAGTATTGTTTACTTTTTACCATTGTTTTTCTAAATTAGAAAGAAAGTTACAATTTTTTTGTCCCATTTCTTTGTTGAATTGTAGTAGTGTCTTGTCAGGTGTCTGGCATGCCAATTGAGTTATTGTTTTTCCACTAGTGGCAGTTTATGATTTGTAGAATATCAATAGGCTTTGCGTATTCCTGTTGGGTGAATCTGTGATTTTTCGGATCCATGGAATTATGGTGTTTGTATTTACTCGTTTGAAATACCTCAGATTATGCACCAGGGCAACATTGCCCTCTCAAACCATAGATATCAATTTCTTCATTTCTTTTCATTGTAGTCACTGGAGTAATAATTCTTGAGAAACTTAAGCCTTTTTAAAACTTTGCTAGGTCCTCGCTCTATCGTATTATGCCATTTCTTATTTCCCTGGAGGATCAACTGGGCTGAAGTTTCTTTCTTCAACTCTTACCGCATCAATACTGAGATGTTTCGGAAGGTGATATCAGTGTCTGGTTTTTCTCATTTATTATTGTTCCCGTCATATGTCTATGTTTTCTTTTATTTATTTTTTTTTAAAATTTTTTGGTGTATGAAATTCTTATTGATCAAAAGAACTAGAAAGGGCAGAGCCCTCATAGTTTATCTAAGATAGAAATGTTCCTTGGTGTTAAATAACATTCAGAGTTATGTTTGAATTTGAAACTCTTTCGACTCCCTCCAGCTTTGGATGTGATAACATTCTCATCCTTGTGTGAAAATGCTTGTCACTTGGGCGTTGGAAAAGCTTTCCGAGTCATGATCTTGTTTTGAGAGATTCCATGCCACAAAAGATGTTTCAGGGTTGGTGCACTATCCAGTCCGAAAGAGTGCTTGGGATTTTTAAGCGAGTGCAGATTTTGATTTTCTCGCTGTTCTGAACCAAGAGAGACCTCTCGTTCAACAGACATTTAACGGAGGATTAAAGGTACTATCGGCACAAGTCCAACATCCAAAGAGAGAAAGAAAAACACACATCTTACAAAAGCCAACTCATACTACATCCCCGCTATCATATGCCTCATTAATTACCTCATCAGTTTCATTTCTACCTTCTCTACTCCCAGACCCAATCAAGCTCTTGCTAGTGTATTTGGATTTTAATGCTACTCCAATATGACTGGCTGAAGCACCAGCCTGAATTGCCTCTGCGTACAAAACCTTCATCATGTTCCTAAAGCGACGCGGGAAGGTCGGAAACCGGGACATGGAAGCTACAATCCCCTGCAATCTGTTGAGGATTAAATCCATAATGGGTTAGGAGGATAATATCTACTTTTCGAGCTCTATTTAGTCTAGAGGATTCTGGTCTAGGCTGCCCTCATTATAATAACAAGAATCCAGTGCAGTTTAACCCAGAAAAGGTTGTGTTCTACCTCTCAGTTGGATACACAATTTAAAAACATACCTTCTGATAATGGCTTGCAGCTGTGCCCTTCTGACATTGTCATTGGATGGAAATCCAGTTCCATCCCACTCCTCGGGCCTCTTGTTTTCGCACTCAATAACCAGCCTTTTCAGACAGGTTTCTTCATTTTCTTCTACTTTCAGATTCTTTATTTGCTCTTTCATAATTAATAACGGTTCGATTAACCACTCAAACACCTTTTCCCTTGGTCCATTGTTTCTTGCCAACTCTACATCATCAGCTGCAAGATTCAATTGCTATTATGATCATGACTAGCACTGTAAAATAGCATCAATCAAGCTAGGACAAAAGGTTTAGAAAAGACATACAGATCACCAGCCCAGATGAGTCAGACTTCGCAGATACAAGCAGACAATGTAGTACGGACCAAGTAGGTAATTTGATGCTCAGCTTCTTACAATTAGCCTTAACAAGGCATTCTTCAATTTCCTGGATATTTATCAGGCCATCACGAAGCAGTATCCTACCATTTACCTCGCAAGCTTTGAATAACCAATCCCATACCTGTGCCATCGAAGCGTTCATAAGAAACAAAATTGATTACAGCTTGTACGCGGAGAACTCGATACCTGCACTGCTTTGTGTTGCTGGATTTCCCACTTCAGTGTTCTTGACTTTTGCGAGATGAGTTGCGCATTGAGCGAGTTTTCTCTTCTAGTCTTCAAGCTGTTGTCCTCTCCTGGCTTAGGATTTGCATTCCTG